AACAATATGATCATGGGAAAAAGATGCATGTATTCATTACGTAATTAACAAATTTAACAAATTCGTCATCAGTTTTACACAAAACATAACTTGAAGTTATCGAATCAAATTTAAATTCTGAATCTTGTCACCGTGAGAGGGGCAGATGCATTAGGTAATCAACAAATTTAACGAATTCATCGTCATTTTTACACAAAACATAATGCGAAAGTTACTAAAATCTCAACAAATATTATAATTAGAACTCATCAAAGAAAATTTAAATTCTGAATCTTGTCACAAAGAGAGTGGCACTGATGCACTATGTATCAACAAATCTAACAAATTCATCATCATTTTTACACAAAATATAATATGAAAGTTACTAGAATCTCAAAAAATATTATCATTAGAACTCATCAAATAAAATTTAAATTCTGAATCTTGGTCACCACGATAGAGGTAGATGCACTATGTAATCAACAAATTTAACAAATTCATCATCATTTTTACACCAAACATAATATGAAAGTTACTAAAAATCACAACAAATATTATAATTAGAACTGATCGAAGAAAATTTAAATTCTGAATCTTGTCACCACGAAAGTCATGGAAGATGCACTATGTAATCAACAAATTTATCATCATTCTTTACACAAAACATAATACGAAAGTTACTAAAATCTCAAAAAATATTATACTTAGAACTCATCGAATAAAATTTAAATTATGAATCTTGCTACGACACGAGAGGAGAGGAAAGATTATACTTACAAGATCAACCTTCTCATTCTTAAGCTCTTCCAAGGATAAATTAGCCGCCATGATGATAAATTAAACACTAGAAAAAAGAGGGAGTTTAAGAGAAACCAATTAATTAAAAAAAGTGAGTTTTCAACAAGGAAGAAGAATTAAGAATGAAAGAGAAATATATAAAGGAAATAATAATTCTATTATTATTATCACTCTTTGTCTTCTCCCTCATCTAGGCTCACTTTCTTGAAAACACAAATTCCCTCTTTCAAATCAGTCCATATAATATATAGTTATATGTTAATTACTTGTTAATTAATTTGACTACTTTTTTTTATGATCCCTTAAACAAGAGTTTATATCTTTAACACCTTAGGTTAATTTTGAGATAATCCTATAAAAAAGGAGAAGCCATGAGAATTGCTATACATTCTCTCTATTCTTTAAATGTCCTAATATTTTGTTTTACTAATGCTAAAAACATGCAAAACCACACAATATTGAGATTTCTTTTTTCCCTTTTTTTTCTCCATCTTGAATATTTTTTGCTATATTTTATTTATTTATTGTCAATGCATATGGTTCCAATAAAATAGCAATATTAGTTGAAATAGTATATTACTGTAAATGAAATAGTAACTTTTTCTCCTTTTGTTTGGGGATTTTTTTATTATTATCATTACTTTGGATATAATGAATTGAATGATTGATTTAATCAATCCATATTATCGGCAAAAATAGCTAGGTTATGTTTGAGAAAAAAGATTAGGTAACCATGAATAATAAGGATTTAACTTAGATTAGGTAACTACGAATAATATGGATATCGATATTATCTGTTCTCAACTTCTCATCCATATGAAATGTGGACAAGTCAAATATTCGTTTTTGTCTAGAAAAAATTAATTAATACTCAATTGATTTCCAACTCACTCATATTTAATTCGACTTTCTAGTGTGGCATTAATGTTGAAATGGTATAAACTTGTGTTGATTTTTATGTTGAGATTATATCCCTACAATCCAAAGTCCAAACCAAACGGCCCCTAAGTTTAACATCTCCCAACAATGACAATGTTCAAGAAGATGGTCAAGTGGCAAGCTAATAAAATGTCACTTGACAAACTTAAGATTAATTTAATAAATATTGTTATAAGAATCTGAATTTAAAGTATTTGTATTTAAAATACATTAGATTTTTAAAAAGAAGGAATTTTTTTCATTATTTTAAAAATAAAAATCCATAGTAGAAGAGTTCTAAATGAACTCTTACTTTTAGAACTCTTATTATTTTATAAATTTATCCTTTTTAAATATTATAAATATAGATAACAATATTAATAATTAAAAAATATCAAACAATAAAAAAGTAAAGAAGATAAACAGAAAAAAGGGAGCAAACGTTGGAAAAAAATATTAAAATAACAATTATAAGGAAAAAAAGGGAGCAAACGTAAGAAAAAAAAATAACAAGGATAAGGAGGAGTAACAAACTGGTCCTCTTTTTATTCTGTTATTGATAACTAATAAAATATTTAGATTAATTATAAAAGAAAATATGCATTGCATTTAAAAAAAATTAAATATAAGGAAGAGTAATAAACTGATCTTCTTTTAAGAAAAAAATGTGATATTTGAAATTTAAATTTAAATAAAATTTGAGTTGGAATGGAACTCTACTTCTTAACTTCTCCTAAATATACTCCTACAAACTTTACATATGAATCTTCATTTCTCTTTCTTCTTTTTTTAGTGGTTTTTTTTTTTTTTTAATGTTTTCTATTTTTATTTTTTTTATCTGAAACATGTGCAACTTATTAAATTCAAATTCAAATTATCTGAAACCTGAGCAACTTATTAAACTAAAAATTATCGGAGTACTTAAAATAAAATTCAACAGAAATTTTCAAAAAATTGTCATCAAACTCCGCTTGTCCTCACAATTACGTGGAGTCTATCCTAAACGGCTTGGATTTCACCATGATAGACTTCACTTAAATATTTTAAAAAGTTTTTGGGGTCTCAAAAATGCAAAATGCAAAATGATTATTATCGAAGCTTTCGATTAAGCCCTCTTCCCTCTCCTTATGTTAAGGAAAAAAGAATGCTGCTTGATTGAACGAATATTGGTTGAACCTTTCTAACTGACACCCCCCCTTCTTCCCAACCTCTGGCAGTATTGGTTGAACCTTTCTAACTGACCACCCCCCTTCTTCCCAACCTCTGGCAGTCAAAGCGACGTACTTCAATCTTTCCATTGATAGATGCATGCAGCTAGTAGGCGATAGGACTTAGGAGGATGTAAGCCCTAGCGGCAGCAATATATTACGAAGAATAGCGTAGGAAATATTAGAGGATCCATCCATAGTACGTTAATTTTTCAAAAAATTATCATCAGAGTACGTTAACTCTGATATCCGAATGTCGATAAATTTGAAAATCTAATTTTTCATTCGGACACAATTCCTTGGCCTCAACGTTGAAAAGGCTCAGCTTCAAAATCGTACACATGGAGCACTTCTGTCTCACTAGCATTTTCTACTACCCTTAAAAAGACAATAAAGTGTTTAATTTTAGATATAAATAGACTGCTATGAAGACACTGGTACACAGGCTTTACTGGTGTCAATGAAGGCCTTTCATCTGATTTATTGTTCATATGAAAAGAAATCCACAAACAAATGATGAAAAGTTGCATGAGCTTGTTACAAATTTAACCAATTGCTGTATACATCCATAATCCAGAATACGTTACAAGTATCATACAGTTCCCCCATCCCTCCATCACACAAGTGCAAATGGCAATTTACAAGCATCATACAGTTCCCCCATCCCTCCATCACACAAGTGCAAATGGCAATACCACTGTGCTAACACAGGCTGAAAACATGTGGCCAAGTCACGAGACCACTACAACCTATTTGATCAGAACAAGATTTACAGAATGCTCTGCATAGACCCTTAGAAGAGGCAATCACTTTGCCTTCAAACTCTTTGCAATATGACCAAAATAGACGGAGGGCTGGAACATCTATAAAGTCGCACAAAAGAACTATACTTGTCCACGCATTGCTAAGTCATTTCTACAACATGAAAGATATCCATCCTCTCATAATTTACACCACAGAACTATACTTGTCCATGGAATGCCATGTCAGTTCTACAAATGCATGTATCAAGTACCAGTAGAATACACTTGAAAAAAAATAGAAATGCCTCTAGCCGTGACAAGTGCTGGGAGCTCAATCTGATATAGAACACCTAAAACCTATTAATTAGCCAATGGCGCACTGATGGACGCCATTCTCACCCCGGTTTGCAGTCCATGTTTATGAATAATGGCAGTAAAGAACATTATTCTACATGCACATCCCACAGACACTGAAGTGCAGTAATCAGGGTGCCAGTAAATCCAGATCAGCAATCCTAACTAATCAAGATATCTTAGGACTCGAGAGATTCCCAAGTCACACTTCTGGTCAAATACACTTTCAACACCACTCAAATGGACTACAAGTACATAATATTAAGTTTAATCAATCATCCCAAAAGTATGTGCTAGGCCTCAAGGGTGTCACAATGACACAACAGCCAATGAAGAAGTCGCCTTGATAGGGAAATAAAAAAGCAAAGGATAAAATGCAATCTGGACCTTGACACCAAGTTGACAGTGGCAATATCAAAGGTATCGGTACTGGTGAGATCATGATTCTGACTATGACACAATAGCCGGAAAGAAGAGAAACACCCCTCTGATACAAGCTTAAAGCACATAACTTTATATGTTTATAACTCAAATCAACATGGTTTACAACTAACAACCTATAATAAGCAACATCATACAAGTTTATCTTACAACTATCACTCCAACAGATAAAGATGACAAGTTGGTGCATCAGTTGATAGTATGATCATACACCAGCTACCAGAAACGATCCCATAAAAATCCAAACCCCTAAGCAAATTATAGCCCTTTCAATAAAATTTTACATTCACTAGTCTGACTCAATGGTGAGATGTGAAAAGAACTTGAATTTTTTCTTTGTTTCAATTCTTGTCAATAGTTTTTCATACAGATGTGAAAAATTCCAGTGTTGAGCTAAGGGAGAGGAAAGATTTGACGGTCAGAAAAACCAAAAGCTAATTACTTCTGTGAAAAACATCAAATCAACACAAACACTCCCCAGCAAGTGCAAATCACAAACAGATAACTCAATGCATGAATGCAATAACAAAATACTACTGTTAACCAAAGATTAAACAGCTCAAATTAAACAGAACAACTTCATAATCAGTCATTAATATATAAATCTCTTCCAAAATTAAAAACACAATCTGTTTCCTCAGCAAATGAGCTCCTATTGAGCCAGAAACTAAAACATAATCCGAAATGTTTTTCCATAAAAAACTTAAATAAAACACGATTCTTCCACCTTAAAATCCTAGCTTGGTCCTACGCCAGTGCCTACGCTTAGCATTGTACCTAAAATACAAAAATGAAACTTCATTAGTAAAAATCAACATAAATCAGAACCAAAATCATATCACAATACTCCATTTAGCAATTAGTGAGTATGAATACCTGATTGTGTTATCAGTCCTCATACGGATCCAGTAAGGAATTGGCCTGTTCTGTCTCTGCTTCTTCGCTAGCTTCTTCTTAATCATGAATGACTTGTGAGAAGGCTAAACAAACATTGCAAACAAATCAGTTTAGCACACACGAGCTTACAATAAGTAGCAATTTTGAATACTTCGAATAGAAACTCACCATTTTTGCTGTTGGTGATTCCCGGCGCTAAAGCTCTGATGCTGATTGAAACCCTAAAGCACGAACAAAAACCCTAGTTTTGGTTCTATATAACAATGTAACACAAGGCCCACTATGTTGGTATTCTATTTGGGCCAACTTTTCGGGTGCTGATTATAGCACATGGCCCATTATTAGGCCTAAAAGTATAGTCCTTTAAAATTGAGCAACTTTCACATATAGCAAATATAAAAATCATAAAATGAGTCAACATTTATTCTAGTTTGTTCGAAATGTATTTTTAGACTATGATCTAAATTGTCCGTAAGTTGTAACAGAAATAAAAAGATGGTCATCTGCTATAGTACCTAAAGTGATTTATTTATGTAATTATTGCTACAGGTTCTTCAATGCATAAAACTTGGTTTCTTATTACATGGTTTGTATCTGTAGAAGTTATGTTGGACCTTCAAGAAGTTTGAAGATGGTGGAATATTGAATTCTCTGTTTATGTCATGTGTTGTTCTTAATGTAACTTTCCTACTACAAATACCATCAACTAGCTCCAACTAAAAGAACAAGAGTACAGAGAACAATCATGAGAGATAATAAACTGAAGTAAAACCTTCACAACCGATAGAGAAAAGATCGAACATTCGATTAACGTTGGCATTTTGTTGCATATCCTTGCCACAAAATGAAATTACAATGTGCTAAAGCTTGTGATACCAGTATGTAATACAGCAAGTTCCAAGGAAATATAGCGCAAAAGTTACATAGCCTATACTTGAATGCCTAACTTTGACACCATCATACTAGTACATAACTCCAGTAGTGAACTTCACCGAAGGGTGAAAGAGGTATCCGACTCTCATCTCTTCTTGAAACCATATTTTTTACGTTCATAAAACAGATCGGTCTTTGCACTACCAAGATTGACAATCTTTGGACAGCCATCCCTATCTTTCTCCTGCTGAGTACATTCCTTGCAATAGTAAGCATCAGAAATACCAACACCACCGCAGATGACACAACGGCCTTGAAAGGATCCATAGTTGCATTCATCACAAACTCGGACAAGTGTGCAAGGACGGACGTATGAATCACAAATCACACACTTCCCATCACATTTCTCACAAAGTCGACCGATAGCTATTCCTGGCTGCTTCCGGCACATGATCAAATCAGGATGATGCTTGGCCATATTTCTAGCAGTGACGTCTTAACCTGGAAAAGAAGAATTAAGCAAGAGTCATTAGCAGACAGCAGAAACGAGGCAAAACAATGAATTTCTAAGATCTATATGATTATGTTTATTGTAGCAGAAAGCATAGTAAGAGATATAAATGGGACAAGAAGTAGAAAACAGCAACTAAATCATTCTGATTGATAAAATAATAAGTTAAAACTTTATCATGTCTGTCAAGAAGCAAAAAATAATAGAATTCTATAAAGAGATAAATATTATCACCCTAGTATTATAACATATCATGTTACCATTTGCTAGGCCCTACAGATAGAAGAAAATGAACGAAATAGCATCAGTTACAGAAATGTCCAAAACCGATCATGTCTGCCAAGAAGCAAAAAGAACAGAATTCTATAAAAAGATAGATATCATCCTCCTAATGTTAACATATCCTGCTACCATTTGTGATGCCCTACAGATAAGGAAAATGAAGAAAATACCATCAGTTACAGAGTTCTCCAAAACAACTTTGATTCATCAGCTTTGACACTAACTAGATAGAGATGAACTCGCTCTATCCCTACCCCTTTAGCTCCTGTACTTTTCTCCTGATAAAGATTTGTCAAACATTATGGACAATGGTATGGACCATGGGAAAAATTGAGTTCCACAAAGTATTTTCTTTTATATTTTATTTTGTGAAGGGGAAGATAAAGGGTGCAGGCAATATTCAATCAACTTTTTGGTTCTTAAATTTAAGATTGTCTCGACCCATCAACAGGAAAAAAAAAATTGGACCCTCACGGAGATTTTCCCAAGAAAAATCCTCTTCATTAAAGTAATGCAATTGCTGGTGAGTGGTGACACTATGCACTTTGCAAACACAAACAGCTTTATACACCTCTAATTCTAATTTCTACAGAGAGTATCAATGATATCTACGTCAACACACAGAAATTAATATGGTTAAACCAGTTGGTTATTTCATGGTTTGTTAAGATACAATCTTTACAAAGACGGAGTTAAGAACTTGCAGAGATCTTAGCTTCACTATCCTACATTTCATTTTATTTATTTTTGAACAGGTAACATTTACTATCCTACATTTCATTTTGCAAGCAGAAACTGATGACTAGCAGAATACCACAAACTACAAAGGTGCAGAAAAGCAAGAAGTTGGAGTGCTTTTGAGTTGTGAACCTACTTCAACTCATTTCATACAGTCGGAATTTTAGAAAATCGCTTTCTTTTTAATGAATAAACTACAGCCTTCTAGTCCACAAGATAAGTCGGAATTGCACTAGTCTCATTGGTTAAATCTTCTCAATTTTGAACACCTATAAAAGCATCCTCTTGCCCGATTCCTTTTTCCTTGAACAGGCTATAAGAGCCCTTTGCTTGCATATTGTCTAAGAAGATCTTGATCATTATTAAATGTATGCAATCATTAAACTTAAATAAGTTGCTCAATAAGGTGAAGACTGGGTTTAGATCCTAACAAAAGGCAATTTCTTCCTATCCATCGAAGTTCTGTAAGCTGAGTTACCTAATATCTATACTAGTTGGAGGTAGCTAGTACGGGAAAACTAGCCAAAACTGACAACTATCAAGAAGAACGAAGTAAAAAAAATCAAACTTTAAGCATTACTAAGTTACTACTCCTATCACTTATCAAGAAACACTCGAGTTCGATATCTAGCAAACACAGTGATCATCATGTGAATGACTCTATAAGCATCTTTCTTTCTTTCTTTGTTAATATATAAATTAAATGCTTTTACTATTTACAATTGAGGTTAACAGGGATGTCCTTATTTCATGATCAAGTTATTTCTGCTACTGCAACAAAAGCAAATTGGTATAATACTGTGAACTCAATTACTTACATCTAAACCTAAAACTAAAGAAGAGTCAGAAAAAATATTTATTTTCAACATAAAACATAACAAAACATATTAAAAATGAAAATTATTCCCCCCCCCCCCCTCGTAAAACAATCTCCTACTAACCTACTATTAAATAGACTAATCCTACCAATACAAAATTAAGTGATTTTCTGAATTCAAACACAATATCAAACAAAAGTAACTACTAACAACAGTGAACTTTAACCAATACTAATTCGTTCAAATTCCTACACGAAACAACCTCAATATCAAACAAAACACGATTTAAGTAGCAATTAACAACAGCAAAAATTCAACAAAAACGAAATTAAGTAATTAGCTAAATTCAAACACAAAACAGACAGAATATCAAACAAAACACGATTCAAGTACTATTAACAACAGCAACTTTAACCAATACTAATTCGTTGAATTCCTACTCAAAACAATCTCAATATCAAATAAAACACGATCAAAATAGCTATTAACAACATCAAAAATTCAACAAAAACGAAATTAAATAATTAGCAAAATTCAAACACATAACAAATGCAATATCAAACAAAAAACATGATTAAACTAGAAATTAATAAAAATGTGAAGAGGATGTAACGTAAACCTGAATCGATGAGCGAAGTTTCTGGAACCGAAAGCCGCAGGGGTTTAGCTGCAGAGAAATGACTCGAGAAATATTGAAGATGACCCGAAAAAATATTGAGACCGGTCTATTTATATAATATGGGCCAGAGGCGGTGCGGCCCACTGGAGTTTCACAATTGGGCTACTTTCTCATGGGCCTTATTGGGATGATTTGCACAAAATGAAATATAACTTTTTCTTTTTAAGTTTAATGGGAAAAAAAGTGAATGGTAAAGTTACGCTGGTATCGGTAATGTAAGTCATGACAAATTGATATGACATGAATATGTTCAACATAGTGAGTAGTGGTGTACAATTCAAACCATAAAGCCAAATCAAAACGATGATGGAAAAAAAATAATCGTTCTTTTAGTTGACAGAATGATATGACTTAATAATGGAGTAGTATATTCATTTTAGTTGACTTAATGAATTTCTTACTAATCATATTGAATTGTTATGATTTTAAAATTACAAATAAACAAATATGTGACATGTAAAACATGTATGATTCATCTTAAATATTTAATCTAATTATCTAGACCATCATGCTTTCAACACACAAAGGAGAGAAAAATGTATTTTCAAGTATGACAGGTGAAATAGATTTATTTAAAGAATTATCTTCTTAAATATCATGAGAGAATAAATGTATTTGAATAATTATTATATTTAATTTTAAATATGTTTAACTTAATATATTATTCTCCCAAATTATATCAAATTGTCATGCATAATCGTAAAAGACACCGACTTATATTGCAAAAGCATATATATTGAAACTTGAAAGTATAAATTGAGTTTACAGGCGATAAATTCATCACATATATTAAAAATATATTTGTCATAAAGAATTTGTACGTATCATGTTACTTCAAATATACATATCTATAAAAAGTGAAATAACACACAAAAGTACAAAACTATATATGATAATAAAAATATTCGACAATTTACACCTGAAGAATTTTTTGAGTTTCCATATTAAATGGGATCTGTTTCAATCTATCAATTGTACACATGTCTACAGACTACAATAATAAAATAAAAAATAAAAGGTACTTGTTGAAGTATCAAACAAGATCATTTGAACTGTCATATTATTGTTATAAAAATATAATTTAGAACTAGTCTGTTACAGCTAGTACTAGATTTGAATAAATATTAAAAAAATTATTGAGTTTATAGTTTTTATTCAATGAACATTCATTAAATTTTGTAAACAAAAAAACTATGTAAGAAGCTGCATTAATTACATACTAATTTCAGAAAAATGATGGGTTAAATCACATTTTTGAAACGTAATTTGTAATTATTTTTTTTAAAACATAACTTATTTATGTAGTCAGAGAGTGCAATTTATAAGTGCTTACTTGAAATACAATTACAAACTGAGTTTTTAGAAATATAAATTTACTAGTCATATTTCATAAATGCGATCGCCGATCTATTATTATTTTTTAGTTAAATTAAATGACGCGCACTTCTCATATATATATATATATATATATATATCATAATTTTTAAATTTATAACACTTACAAAAATTTCCTATCAAAATTGTAAATATGCATGTCTGACCAACAAAAAAAAAGTAAATGTGTATGAATATTATAGATTAATGTTCATGCTAAAACTGGTTAAATAATAATTTTAACAATTGTTTTTACACTGTCATTCACAACATACCAAATTATGTCTCTAATGAAGGTTTGAATTTTTTCCTAATAATTACATAATGAGGATTGATTAAGTTAATGTTGATATAATGAATTTGATTCTCAAATTAATTGGTGGCACATGGTTGACCAATATGATATTATTAAATTATTTAATTAAAAGTTCATTGTGCCATATAGTTTTTAAAAAATAAAATAAAAAGTTACTACCTCTAGTGAGTGCTTAACCTTTTATGCAACTTTTACTTCGGTAAATTGTTTAGATAAATATTCCTTTAATTAATTTTACTGTCACTAATAACCTCTGGCACAAAATAACAAAAAGTTTTGTCACTAATTTTATTTAATGATAAATTATTCAACCAAAAAAGGAAAATAATGAATTATAAAGGGCCAGCTATGAAGTATTTAGCAACACGTTAACAATAAATTTTATAACTTAATTTCTATATAAAAGAAAAAATTGTTGCGTACGTTTTTTTTTATATTAACTTTATTCTTGACCACAAAGAAAAATAAAATAATAGTCAATTTAGATAGATTCAATGTATCTAAGATTTATGCAACATAGACAAGTAAATGATTTTATGCCTTAAAAATTATGAAAATAAATCAATAAGACATTCTATATAAGACTTATCGTCATCTTTTACATAATATTATATTTTGTAACCAAAGAAAAAAAAAATTAGAACTTATATAGACTGATCGGAAGGAAAATAAAATTAAAATAGTTAACAATACAACCAAAATCATTGAAGGGAGAAATCTAACACTATTCAAAACAAAACTTAATTAATTCGAATCGATCAGTTAAACAAACATAGATTATAATTTGTGATTAACTAATTCGTTTCTACAACAGTTCATAGTTTTATTTTTATCTATAAAGTTATTGTCAAGTATGTTTAGGAAGAGTAATAATTCATATTTTGCGAGATCATTTTAAAAATATTGTGTTGATAGTTTGTGCCTAATTTAATTAACATTTTCAATGAAATTTGAGCACAGAACTAAACTCATTATTTAAGTAAAAGGATATATGGGAAAATTCATCATTCTTGAATTTGGAAAGCTACCAAAAATAACTTTATATGAATTTCTCAATCATAAAACAAAGATACAATCACTAATCACTAAAAGCAGCTATAAAACATTATATTGTATTATATTATTAAATGGGAGAAGCATTGAAAACACCTAGAAGCGCAAATTATTAGTTTCATTTCCGAATCATTGACAACCTTAAAATTACCATCTACTTGACTAATTAAACTTAGATACGTCTCATATATGTCATATAACATAGTAAGTATAGTCTCAAACTCTTGCGGGAACATTGGGTTCTTAATAGAAAGTCGAGATAAGTGTTGAAAATAACCCTAAACTTGGCGCGAATTTAGGAATGTATTTCACTCATGTTACAAGATCGATGGTGCATATAAGTTTAATTAATCAAGTAAAAAAATAATTTAAAACTGTCAATAATTCAAGTGTAAAGCTAATACAAATTCATATCAAATTTAAAGATGTTTTCAATACTTCTCCCATTAAATAGAATGAATGAAGAGTCAAATTGTTGTCAATAAAAATCTTCCCATGTGATCATTGTGCTAACAGTGTGTGGAAAATGGTTGTAGCATTTCACTCAATATTCAATACTTACAAATTTGATAAATTTATATTTGTGTCAAAAAATATTTTATTGGGACAAAGCATTAATGATTTGGTTCTCAAGGCTTTGAAGTCAAGACTTTTTAACTAGTAGCGATTGAGAGTATTCTTTTCGAGTTGCTTATGGAATGGATTGGGTGGATAATTATGTTAAATAATTTGACTTATCAAATTGATTAGGTGGATAATTACGTTTAACGGTATGATTTATCAGATATCGACTTTAAAATATACTAATCTGTTAATTATTCAATAAAATATTGATTGATTCAGGGTCAGATTAGTAATTATCGGATGATTGTATATTTGTATTTGCTCAAACATAAGTGATCCCTTCTTTCACTTTCACTCCCATCAATATATTTAATTTCCCATCAAATAAAATAATTTTTTCAATACTACTTGAGCTAGTAATTCTGTAATTAAATCACAATAAAAAATATATGAAAATTTAAATTTTGAGGATGCGTGCATATAAGTATTTATTTAACAAATATTCATGTGTTCAACAACTTATTATTTCAATACTAAATAGGGCTTTTAGAGTTGATAATATGTACTTCCTATACATACTTTAAAAAAAGGGAAAATGATTCGAAATATATTTGAATTTTGATCGAAATTGCTGTAACAATACCAAATTTTGAGCAGGACATATTACCCCATACACTATTTAATAGTGTATTTTAAAGATATATATGTGCCCATAATGATGCAATATTTATGACGTTCACGTGAGCACATATATACCTTTAAAATACACTATTAAATAGTGTAGGGATAAAATGTCATTTTCCAAAATTTGGAATTGTTACAACAATTTCAATCAAAATTCAGATATATTTCAGACTTTTTTCCTTTTAAAAAATATAAGTATGATAATTCTTAACAGGTCAACTAATTGCCCAATAAAAAATTTGAGTAATTCACTCCGCAACGATAAATTGTTAACTAGTATAAAATTTTAATCTATTCACCAACCAATAATTCGATAATTAATATCAATAAACCAATTTTACAATTAATTTATAGTTATGGTTCGATTTTGAAAATTCTTAATTCTTTCATCTAAACATACCATAGAAATTTGTGTTTCTTTTTTTTTTTTTTCAAAAAGGAAAAATTGCCAATCATTTAATTTCGTTTGTAGACCCCTATTTTCTCATGAAATAATAATGCTGTAACTAATTAATGGGTGACAACTCATATAATTAATTAATCAATTAATTTATTAATTAATGTGAAGTCAATTCCTTAAAAAGTTGCAAAAAATAAAACCTTAAATCACGCAAATCAAAGAAACTAATGAAATGAAAGTTGTAAAACACAACTACAAAAGGAAAATATCATTAGCATTCAAGTACTAAATCATTATTATTAATTAGAAAATATTTCTTCATGAATTTCCCATTCTGTTAAAGTTTTAGTACTTTTTTAGATTTTAAAAAAAGTCCTAAACAATAACTTTATTGTATAAATCATACATTTTCAAGTCAACCATCTCACTTTCTATTGTTCTTTAATTGTGTTTTTACTTTGCAATGTTTCTAGATTAGATAAATCCAAGTAAGATCCAAAAAACTTAAGCATATAACCAATTAAATAAGATTTTTTTTCTTAATTTTTCATCCCTAGTCAGAAGTCGATTAAATTTGAATTTGCGTAAAAAAAGATCTTATATTAAAGATAAAGCGATATCTAACAAAAATGTCTGAAGTCTAACTAAATTTCAATTCACACCTCACACTCAAAAATCCATCATTAATACCTTGTTTGGATGGTTGTTACCCACAATATTGTATTGTAATTTAAAATATCATATTCGTTTTGATTGTTACTTGTTATTTAATAATCTTATTTTATTTATCACCCGGCCTTTATATAGTAGTTCTACTTGTACTATATTGTACTAACGACAGATAATGATACAATCTCTCCAAATGTCACATTCATTAAAACAATAAAATACGATATATTATAATAGTTCTACATTTATCCTACTTTTCTGGTAGAGTTATCATTCAAATTGTTGACGTGTAACATTATGTAATAACATATAATGATACAATCTATCCAAACGTTATATTCATTCAAACAATACAATACAATACAATACAGTACGATACGTTATGGACGGAGTGTAAGAGGTAAAGTGGTCAAGATTAGTTTGGACACTGAATATCCAAAATGGAAGGCTAAGATTTCTTGAAATGTGAATAATGTAGATGAAGATGAGTCACATGTGATAACTTCTAAAAAGCCTACAAAAAGCTCAGTTCCAAATAAGCATGCTTCTGGTTCCCATATATGAGTTAAAAAAAGAGAGTAAAGTTGGAAAAAAAAAGCTTCACAGAAGACTAAAATATATATTCACTCAACTGGCAACTGCATAAAACATAGTAATAGCTTTATGTCCATATATAACATTAGCACAAATGGAAAAAAAATCATTTTTTTATTATTACCAATGACTTTTTGTGATAAGAAGAGAGTATAGGGGTGGGGGGGTGGGTAGAAAAAAGCAAAAGACAAACACAGAGAAAAAGTTGAGGTCTTGATGGTGAAGAAGAGTTTAGGGGGTGGGGTTGTGTTGTAATGACTTAAAAAAAGTTGTATGATTTGGAGTATTGTTGAGTTGAAAACCATTCACTTTGTTCTGGCCAATCACCATCATTACTTACTATAACTCCAAGTTCCAATCTTGTCTCTTTTTTTCTTTTCTTTTTATCTCTTTCTCTCTAAAGATCCCCTCTTTTTGTTTTTCTTCTTGTTGTTCATCAGTTGTTTGATTTATTCAAAGTGTTTTCTTATTTGGGGTTTTCAGAAAGATTCTTGAAAAGTGACCCTTTTGTGGTTTTGTGCTAAAGTTGTAATCTTTTTCTTCAGATTCTGTTTGGGTGGTCTTTTTTCTCTTGTGGGGTTGTTTAATTTGTGGTTCTTGAAATGACTGTGGAGGAAATTAGAGGAAATATGGGTGGTGAAAGGGAAAACTATGATAATTTTCCAGTTGGTATGAAGGTTCTTGCTGTTGATGATGACCCAATTTGTTTGAAGTTGTTGGATGGACTACTTAGGAAATGCCAGTATCACGGTATTTATGCTTTTTTCTATGTTTTTGCTTAAAGATTTCATTTTTTTGGTTTATCAATTTGGAGTAGTTGGTAAATTTATTGAATTGATTCAGTTTGATGCTATTTGCAATTTCTGCTGTTTGGGAAGTTGTTTTCTGTTCCATTCTGAAAAAAAAATCATAACTTTGTACTGATTCAGACTTTTATAAGGAGAAGTTTAGATCTTCAACTCCCAGAAAAAAAAGGTTTAGAATTTGTTTTTCATAGTTCCAAGATTTTTCATGTTTCTCAATTGCTGTTAATTTTGCTTTTTCTCTTCATGCATGGTTCATGTTCCTTTTAAATTGGATTGTTGCTTTTCAACAATGAAAGTCAACAGCTATATATGCTGTGTAATCTCACAAGTGGGGTCTCAGAGGGTAGAGTGGACGCATACCTTACTCCTACCTCGTGGAGGCCGAGAGGCTGTTTCGGAAAGACCCTGTGGTCTTTTTCAACCATGGAAGTCATATATAAAAAAAGGAATCTTGAAGTTCTTTTGATTTGATTTTGGCCTTTTCAACTTGACTGTGCAGTTGAGCTTAAATGGATAGCTGTCTCCCACTTGTTTGGGATTGAGGCGCAGTTGTTGTGTACAGCTTAACTGTGAAGTATAATCAAGTCGAAATTCTCCATTTTTGTACTCTCGTTTTGGATAGTCTGGTTTGAAGCCTAGTTTTTCTCTGAGAATTTCATGACAGCTTTGGTGTGTGTGTGTGTGCGCACCTTATTTTTCAGTTCTATTTAGTTTAGTATGATGATTATATGATGTGGACTTAAATGAATAAGTGAGATTAATATAGTCGACCCCAACTTGTTTGGGACTGAGGCGTAGTTTTTGTTGTTATTCATGACAGCTTTGGAGTTCAACTATGTGTATCATTGTAAATTTATTTGGAGATTTGGAACTTCCTAACTTGAATTCCTTCATTTATTTTCGGTTCTTTCCATCTGACTGAAATGTTGTTGTTTCCCAATCAAAATTGAAATTGCATTTTCTGAAAATGGTCTGTTGTTTTACAGTAACTACGACGAGTCAAGCAAGAACGGCGTTGAAGATGTTGAGGGAAAACAAAGATAGATTTGACTTGGTGATTAGTGATGTCCACATGCCTGATATGGATGGCTTTAAACTTCTGGAGCTTGTTGGTCTCGAGATGGATCTTCCAGTCATAAGTATAAATACCTTCATTTATCTTAATTTTATATCTGTCCTTGATGTTCTTTTCCCTTGGCTGCCGTTAGATAAAATATTCTTGCATCAAGAATTGAAGATCTTTTAATTTGCTTATATCAAAGTAATCCGTTAAAGTTTGTTTCGTTTCTTGACCATTGACCTTTTCTTGTCCAGTGTTGTCAGCAAACAGTGATAGCAAACTTGTAATGAAGGGAATAACTCACGGTGCTTGTGACTATTTGGTGAAACCTGTCCGGCTTGAGGAGCTAAAGAATATATGGCAACATGTAATAAGGAAAAAGAAAGTTGAGCCTAAGAAGCAAAACAAGTCTGATGATCAAGACAAGGCTCACCAGGGAGGCGGAGAAGGTGAAAGAGGATCACAGCTTTCAGGTAATGCAGATCAAAACGGGAAGGTTAACAAGAAAAGGAAGGATGAAGAATATGAAAGCGATGAAAATGGAAATGACGATGAAGATCCTGGAACTCAGAAGAAACCTCGTGTTGTTTGGGCTATAGAGCTTCACAAGAAGTTTGTTACAGCAGTTCATCAGTTAGGCCTTGAAAGTGAGTATTTTAGCATTAATGTGGTTATATCTTAGATTCTTCGTCTATTTTTTTTTATGTATGTTCCCCTATTAATGGACTTATTTCTCAATAACGTTTCTGATGCAGAAGCTGTGCCTAAGAGGATTCTTGATCTGATGAATGTTGAAGGACTTACAAGAGAGAATGTGGCGAGCCATCTCCAGGCATTATTCTCTCTTTGTTCTTTATAATTCCCTATGTTTGCATTTGAGTCCCGTTTCTTTATATTTTACAAAATTAGGGGTTTTTGGCTAGACCTTTTTTGAGATGTGAAAATGGATGAGGTGACTGTTAAAAGAATGTACCAAGAATAGGAAGAATCATATACCCTTGCTACATCTTAGGAAAAATAAATTTCTTGCTATGTTTTCACAAATGTTATTTAGCTCATTCGAACATTTCATGTTTAAATATGCATGTGGATATATAATGAAGGGAAACAATACAGATCTTAAGCTAGATTGTTTCCTCCAATATTGTCTTAACGATTACAAAGGTGTTCCAGATCTGTTTTGATATGCTTTTCCTTGAGCCGAGGGTCTATCGGAAACAGCCTCTCTACCTCCCAAGGTTGGGGTAAGGCCTGCTTATTCTCTACCCTCCTCAAACTCCACTTGTGGGATCAGGTTTGTTGTTGTTACAAAGGTGTTGCAGGAGTTGTCTGTGCTTCGGCCTTCGTGTCCTGTACTTTTGAGTAAAAGCACAAAGGTATAAAAATTTAATTTGTCTTTCGTTCTGTGCCACAGAAGTATAGGCTCTTCTTGAAAAGGATCAATGCGGCAGATGCCCAGCAAGCCAACTTGGCTGCCACTGCATTAGGGGGTAAAGATTCTGCGTACATGCGAATGGGTTCACTGGATGGGCTTGGTGGTTTTCGAACGTTGGCTGGATCAGGAAGGTTCGGTCAGGCTAGCTTATCATCATCATATGCATCAGGAGGCATGCTTGGCAGACTAAATAGTCCTTCTGGTGTAAGCCTTCACAATCTAGCATCTTCACCTATGCTCCAACCTAATCATGGTCAAAATTTGAGTAACAACTCCATCAATGCCTTGATGAAATTTAATGCAAATGTTCCACCTGCAAGCCAGAATGCTAATTTGTTCCAAGGGATTCCTGCATCGTTGGAGCTTGATCAACTGCAGCAGAGTAAGTGTGCCACACGCATAGGAGAGTTGAATCATTTGGATGAGTCAGGACTGCATACAGCGGCCAGTACATTCATGAACTCTAGATTGGTTGGTAGCGCAAACAGCTCTATGCCCAATGTATCAAATAATCCTATTTTGCTTCAAGTGAATTCCCAGCAACCACTGACGGGGACGGGATTTGGAAATCAGACTGCTCTCAACATAGCCTCTTTTAGCTCTGAGGCCTTCAATACTGGTGTAAGTGGTTCTTCCAATTTTCTGGACCATGATAGATATAATGAGAATTGGCAAACTTCTCTCCAGCCTCTGAAGTTCCAGTCAACCTCCTTTCCGTTAAATGAACCTTTCAGCAACAGCCATTTGCCTCAAGACAGAGTACGAGACAATGATACTTCAACTGGCCCTCTTTTGCAGAACAACCCTGTTGATTTTTCAACCTCTGCCATAGTTTCCGTACCTTTCGAGGCTTCAAGAGGAGAAACACAATGCCGTGAAAGTTTAGGGGGTGCTGTTCAGATTATGAACCAAGCAACCTGCCAACGGTGGCCAGATCAGAACCAACATTATTCCCACAATTCAAACAGTATTTTTGGTAACATGAGCTCTCAAGTTTCTAGCAATGGTGGAATGGCCTCTTTACCTCATCCTATGGACCAAAACAATGATATGTTCTGCACAAGGGTGGAGACTTCTTTGACCGGCAGATCAAATGGAGGTTCTTCAATGCACATACACAATCGTGAAAGTGAAAAATTAACTCATGACTCGAGGACAAAGACAAATGAAGACTACCTCTTTCAGACAACAAAGCAACAAGTTGGTTTTCTTCCTCAGGGCTATGGCTCCCTTGATGATCTTATGGGTGAAATGAAACGGGTAAGCTAACCTCTTTTGGTCTTTGTCTTATTTATGAAGCTTTTATTCTGAAGTTTAGTCATAGATTCAAACGAGGTGTGCGCAAGCTGGCCTAGGCAGCACACCTTTTTTTTAAAAAAAAGAAGCATTTTGAGACCTGAACAGCAGCTGAGCGTACTACTTTTTTAAATACTTGACCTGAGTTCGCGGTCTCTGGTGTGGTGATAGATTAGATAAGTTTTCTTGAAGAAAGGATGCTTACTTAACTTGGTGTTCTTTTTAGCGTAGATAAATATCTGTTTATAAGTTTTTTTGTTTTTAAAAATATTTCTGTTTATATGACATTGAGAGTGATTTAAGTTATACCCGGTATTACCTTGTAACCAACACCGATAGAGATTAGAGGGTTACAAACCACCCTGCACACTCTCTACTGCCACCACAAAGAGGAGTAAAAACCACCATTAAATGGCATTGTCGGTTGTCTTCTACTGTGGCAACTTGGACTTGGAGCACCTTTTATTGCCAGAGTTAGTTAATCACTCGAGGAACTTTATGTCTTGGATGCAAACTAGTGAGGTTTATTGTCTTCACGTATTTATGAGTCAACTTATAGGAATTCTCCATAAAATCGACCTTTAATAATGAAAAGTAACTTAACAAGCTACTAACAGTTCGAGCTATGCCTTCTAGGGTGTGCTCTAGAGGCAATTTCTGCTTTCATGAGGGAAGACGAAAGCTTTTCCACTAAACAGAAATATGTTTTCGAGCTTCACTGTGCCTGTCTGAGAAATAGTTTATTTGGTCTACTGAAATATGTTTATACTAACAAAAGAAGACGAAAATGAGTTACAGGTAGGTCTGATCCTAATGTTTCTTTTAGTTTGTACGAATCGATCAATATCAACACCTAATGCATCTATTGATGCCTTCAACTTTTAAAAGCTCATTGTTTTATGCATCTCTTTTCAGTTGAATAATTCTATGTTAGATTCAACTTCTTAGTTTGTTAGTCCCCTTTGCTTTTACAAGCACGGATTTTGAATACTCTCGGTTATTTCTTCTCAAAGATTAACGGTCATTATTATGTCGGTTTGTTGTGGATTGATTTCTCAAATGGTCACTCAACTCTCAGCTAATAATCTGTGAAATCAAGTCGTTTGTTGCTGTCTAACTATGTTGCTAAAACTCTCAAAAAATGTTGTCACAACCGTGTTGGATCCTCCAAAATGCACTTTTGGAAGATCTGACAAGCATCCATTGACATCTTCGTAGAGTCTGAGTAACATAGCTTAGACATTGGCGTGTTAACATACTAAATGATTTTGTTTGAAAAAATGCAGGATCAAGATGGAGCCATGTTAGAAGGAGGAGAATTCGGATTTGATGCTTATTCACTTGGTTCAGGTTTATGAGGTTTTTGTAACTAGCAAGTTAGGAAGGAGAGGATCTAGTGATATAGCAAAATGTTATTTGCTCATTTAAGAGTCTCTTAACAATATATGCATACTATGCCTTTTTTTTCATTGTTCTTTTCCAGTCCGGGAACGTTGTTATCGATCGTAGAAAACTCTTAAATGCTAATTACTTGTTGCTTTTAAAGGGCCGGTTCTGTGAGTTCAACTGAATCATTTGCATTCGTCTCCAACTTTGTATATATATATATATGCGGATTCTTTTGAAATGTACACATATATAGTGCAACTTACGAGTAAATATCATGTGAGTCAATGAACCATGTATAAGATATTAAACTGGCAAGAACATATGCTGCACTTTATTTTAGCCAAAAGGCAGAGGACGGAATGCTTTGTAAAGCCCAGTCTACCGCCCAACTCTTTTATACTACCCTGCTATCGTAGTTTCCTTCTCATTTACTCCCTTCGTCTCAATTTATGTCACTTTTCACATTTCGAGATTCAAATAAATATATTGTTGACCCTAAATTTTTCAGTCTTTTAAATCTAATTAATAAATATATAAATTTCATTTCAAAAAATTTGAAGATTCCATGCGTAAATTACCAGTCAAACATAAATTGTTTGACTCTCGAAAAATGAAAAGTGCTATATAAATTGGGATAGAGGGAGTATTTATTTATTTTAAATTGGGTGTTGGGGTAGGGAAGTGGAGAGGAGATCACAATGCAGCGAAATTGAACCTTCACTAACAAAACGGGAGTTCAGATAGCTAACCAACTAGACTACTAAGATTCCCTATCGCAGCTACCTTGGGGACACAAGTGAAAACGGCCTAGCTTTATACAAAGAGGAAAAATCGTAAAGCAAAATTTATACCAAAAAAAGGGAAGGACAAATCGTTTCTTCAAAAAGATAAAAGCATAAGATAGAAATTACCGATAATTAAACACTTCAACTCTTTTTCACTGTATCTTATGGGCACATAACGTTGATGTGACATAAATTTTAGAAGTAAGTTCATGATTATTTTCTAAGTTTTGGAGTGTTCAACTAACAGAATGGAACAAGTTGAGGTGTATAGAGGTTAGTTTTCAGTTGAAGTCAAGTTCAAGCGTCTATTTTATGTATTATGCCAAAAAATTATTACAAATACGTGCATCACTTTCCTGAAAAATAATGTAGGACATGTTCATGTTTGTCATTATTTTTGCTACTTGTTATTTTTTGTGCTCCAATTATCGCATCATTATTTGATTATTGTTATTGCTTCTTGTTTTTTATCCTTCTAAATGCCATGTTATGCTTTTCCTGTTATTTGTTATGTCCTCTTTACTTATGTATTTTCTTTGATGTACATTACTCGAGTAGAGAGTCTTTCCAAAACAATCTCTAAAATCTCTACCTCCACGAGGTAACAACATGGAATAGACCTGCTAATAGTTCGTAATATACTAATTTTCTGATTCTTTTTCATTCATAAAAAAATTGTTGAATCTTGTCCACTATTCTCATTTAAAACATGAAATTGGAAATTGGTGAACTCTATTTTTTTGAGGAACAGATAAAAAAAAATTCGAAATAACAAAGACGATGAAAACATTTTGATTTCGACAATTATGAAAATTGGAATGATAAATTGATCCATAAAACTTTTTAACCAAGATCATGAAACAAAGATATAATAACCTTCATGTTAAAGTAAATAAACAAAAAAAACCAAATTTAGAAATACGTTTTTCGTCTTAATCAAAATATTGAGCAAAATGTACAGAAACAAAGAATCAATGGTCAAATTCAAATATAACGATACAGAAGGAGATAAATAACGTTGAAGTAAAGTTAGAGAAAACGCGACAAGCACTAGAACAGTTGGGAGGAAGAAAAAGAGATAAGTTCATCCATAAATCTTGTTAAGCCAACAAACAAAGATATAACAACAATGTTAAATGAATAAGCGACAGATCAAGAGCTTGAACTTGCAAATACTGATGAAAATGTAGAAAAAGACGTAAAGTTTACGCAACCAACTAAAGAACAACAACTATAATGAACTAAAGTTAGAGAAAACGGGATAAGCAAAAAGGTCAATAACCATAGCATATAGATCTCAATTAGTAACTTAATACATGGAAATAAACAAACCGATCTTAACATAATGTTAGGCAAAAGCTTCAGAACTATGATTAACTTCAGTCTAATAGATAGCGTTAAACAAAGTACTTGAACAGTTGAGAGGAAGAAAAGAAGATAAGTTGATTCATAAAACTTGTTAAGCCAATAAACAAAGATATAACAACAATGTTGAACGAATAAGCCACAGATCAAGGGCTTGAACTTGCGAATACTGTGAAAATGTAGAAAAAGAAACAAAGTTTACGCAACCAACTAAAGAACAACAATATTGAACTAAAGTTAGAGAAAATGCGATAAGCACATAAACAAAAAGGTAGATAACCATAGCATATAGATCCCAATTAGTTACTTAATACATGGAAATAAACAAACCGATCTTAACATAATATGTTAAGCAAAAGCTTCAGAACTAGGATTGATAGTGTTAAACAAAAGCTTCATAACTACGATTAACTTCAGTCCTAATAGATAGTTAGATCACGAGATAGCCGATAGGAATAATCAAAGAGGACTACCAACTTAAAGGTGATGCCAGGGATTTTTTTAGTTTTCTGCGGTCCTCCCGGAGCAAGTTTCTACTTTCTTCAATGCCATACAAGGTCGCATAAGGTGGGGAGCGAATGCAAGCTGGAGCATTCAACCAGAGATCGCTACGAAAACAGAGCAAAAAATCACAATAAACATTAAACCTTGTTGTTAAGTATTGTTTCATAAAGCATATTATATTGTATTGTTAAGTGAATACAAAGTTTAAATAGATCAAAAAAAATAAAAATCACATTCCAATTTACCAGTTAAAATCTGATTTGTGGTTCGAATTAATTGTTATCTTCCAAACGAAGATTGTACACAACAACAATCATCTAAAAAAAAAAAACTCACTTTTCGCTGCATCCGAATCTGAGGAGGTCATAGACGCTCTGAAACATAAACAAATTTGAATAGAAATCAGTTACAGAAATCAGTGATTAAAAACAAAACAAAATAGAGTATAATCACCTCTTTGGGGTGCAGAGTGTTTTTGCGAGACAGTTTCAAAGGCCGACGAGCTTTAATAACCTCATCCTAAGTTTTAAAAATGGGGAAAAATTCAGATTAAAATTGAAGAAGAACTCTATATCAGAGATGAAATCGAAAAGTAGAAAACCTGTTGATTCTCTATCTTCTGTTGATTCTCCGTCTTCTGTTTCTTATCAATGTGATGTTCTTCATTCTGTTCCTGCTTCTCCTTCTCCATCTCCATCGATGCCCGTTCCATTTCTATTGTGCCTTCTGTTGTAAAGTGGAGACGAAACAAAATAAAAAAAAATACCTTGGAATAGGTTGGGCCGAGGTATAAAGTAGGGAAAATGTATAAGTAACCCGGCCTATATCCGAAATTCCTGAGACACACCTAACCTTTACTAAGGTCCTATTACCCCGAACTTATTTTATATATAATTTTCTACCCCTTTTCGATCTACGTGGCACTATCTTGTGGGTCCAGCGCATGTTGACAATTTTTTCAAAATTAGTGCCACGTAGGCTAAAAAGGGGTAGAAAATTAATTAAAAAATAAGTTTGAGGGGGTAATAGGACCTTAGTAAAGGTTAGCTGTGTCTCAGAGATTTTGGACATAGGCTGAGGGATACTTATGCATTTTCCCTATAAAGTATAATAATTTCAAGATAAAATGTAGGATTATTTTAGTTTATCGGAAATTTTCATAATTAACAAATATTAAGATTCCTTAACTACAGTTTCACTCATCATAATTTATAGCTACACTTTGGTTTTTCTATGCATTTGTATTCGTTGTATTTTTTTGTGGATTTCAGAGGAAAAAAAGACAAATACAAATTAATTTGTATCAAAATGAATATATATTAGGAGGAGAGAGACAAACAAGATCGAGAGAGGCGAGCGAGATCGAGAGGGGGAGGAGAGAGACGAGCGAGATCGAGAGAGGGAAGGAGAGGATGAATGCATATTGTATTCATTGTATCACGAATACAATTGATGCATAATACAAATCGAGTTGATACAAAATGCATATATGTGTATCCATTTTATGAATTTTCTTGGTAAACATGTGTGTTCATTTGTCTTAAACGCATGAATTTTCTTCATCTTCTTCTCCTTTTTCCCCTTGTTGGGTGTGTAGATTTATAAGTTTTCTTCCCCTGTTCATCAGTTGTTATGAATGCAGTCAAAAAGCTAAAAGTCTTAAATATTCAATAAGTATAATAATTTATGTATCGTAATTTCTATATAACTAAATTCTACATAAATAATACCTACATAACTAATATTTGCATAATTAATATATGCATAACTAATATCTGCTTAACAAATACATGCATAATTAATACATGCATAATAATACCTACATAATTAATACCTGCATAATTAATACATGCACAACTCTAGCTAGTAACCAAACAACCCCTAGGTAGTTAGATCACGAGATAACCGATAGGAATAATCAAAGTTAACATAGCAAAGTTAAAATATTTTTGTAGGTACACATATACATAATGCCAAACATGGATAAAACCGTATAAAAGTTGGATAATTAGTTTATATGAATCCTTTTTGTGTGAAAGCATATAGAAAAATGACACTGTCAATCTATCAATTCCACTTTAAATTTGATAAACTAGAGGATTGAAAATTTATGTGTTACTAGTTCAAATCTGGATTGGGAATAGTCGAGTTAGCCTAGTTGAGGATTGAAGTCATCATGTCACTTGTTCAAATCTAATTCCTAACACATGATTATTTTGTGTGGATCTCTTTTTTCTAGAGTAAATTTCTAATATTAATGACAATAGAACATTATTTGATATTTTACAAAATTTCATTATTCTAAATCTCTATTATACAAAATATTTAGAAAATTTCATTATTTCCTTATATGATGATGACATTGGTTATTTGGAATGTAGTAAATCTTCTTTTCAAAGTTTTGAGTTTTTAGTTAAATGACAGTAGAACATTATTTGATATTTTAGAATTTTGTATAAAACTATTTAAAATTTATTATCTATAAATAAGATTTATGAGAACAAGAACCAATGTATTGTATTGAAATAAATGATTGATATTTATTAAGTTGAAAGAATATTTTTCAAGTTATATAATAAGATATTGACTCTTTGCATATACAAGTATAAACTATAAACACGTAGAAATAATTATTTATATAGTAAAAACAAAGTTTTTAGGGGTTATTCACTCTTGGGAGCGTGAAGCATGTCTCATCCTTGGCGGACTATGATTTGAGTTTCAAATTTATCAGTATATTCACCAAATATTAAAATTTATGATAAGGAATTATATAATCTCAGACATTTCGAATAAATTTAATGTAAATGTTAGTTAAAGACGTGAGTATAAACATTACAAACTATTCAATAAAATCGATATGATATACATTATGTTGTTGGATGTTTTTACTAACTTTTTTTGTTTTTTTAAAAAATCTTACAGATACGAGAGAGTTGAAAGCAAATACTCCAACTCGCTTCAACGCAGATATTATCAAGTCTTTGTTGAAGAGGTTTCTGCCTTGCCCTTGTAGGAGCCAGTACATTGTTTTTTATTTGACCTGCTGATAACTTTTCTTGTTATTTTGAATTTTGTGTTAAAAATGTTTTATTTTTAATTTGACTTTTTAAGCAAATTAAAAAACTATTATAAGTGTTAAGTTTGATCTTTTTTGCTTTTTAGTCCTTTGCATTTTTATTTTTGTGTCTTACCTCCCACAAAATAAAATATACCATCTTACATTTACAATCAAACACGGTATAAGCAATGTTAAATTTTACATAGATTTATAAAATAAAAAACTGAATAATGTATCTTTTTATAAAATTATTTATCAAAATGCTCATACTTTATATTGAACGACCCTTAGGTTTTAGTTCAATTCATGGGTCTAGCTAGACTAAGGCTTGGCAATTCGATATTTTCAAAATAAGTTCGGTTAATTCAATAATTGATAATTGAAAGTAGATACAATACAAGTTTAGTCCAGTAAATCAAACTTAGGTCTTGATAAATTTTATCATACAATATATTTTGACAAAATATGTTCATAGATCCAATAAACTTTGGTACGATAAATTCTATTTCGATTCAGTAATATGGTTTTTGATAATTTATGTCCATTCATGACTAAACTATCCTCCAACAGTGGCTAAGAAATTGAAATTGCTGAATTCCAAATGTCTAATCCAACAAACATATGGTCCCCTATGCTCTAATGCTTCAACACAAAGTCATCAATAATAACAATTGATGTGAAATTCCAGTTTGTTTGTATCCAAGAAACTTCGCGTCAAAGAAAATGTAGTTATAGCCCATCGTGCAAGCCTCCCACTGGGGACCAATATGCCAAAAGCACGAGAAAAACCATACTTTCCTTCCCTTTTTTCGCCCCCATGTAGCCGGGGGACATAAAAAAGGGGGAACTATCAAAACTTGTTCACAACATTTGATAGAGGATTCAAAGACAAGCCACACTTTTAATAGATCAACTTTACATAGTTTCATAGGAAAAAGACTTGTAAAAACATAAGCTTTAAACATGTAGGATTTAACACACTAGAGACTGTTTTAAACACTTCATTTCATTGGTCTTTGGATAGTTTTCTTTTTTTGGCCATTGTACTGTTTTTGCCTATTTTCCAAGGATTGATTTGATCCACCAAATTCCTTTGGTGTCTTCGGGGCTATCTTCACTCTCTGGTGGGGAATCAGATTGTGGTGTCTTGTGGAGCTTACTCACGTCGTAGCCTTCTTCTTTAGCCTTCTCAACAAGCTGGTTGTAAATCTCATCATCAAGACATGTTCGCCTACTTAATATCTGCCAACAAAACACATTTTGTTAAGCCGGAAAACAAGAATCCGTTGAAAAAAAAAGAAGGCAAAAACACTAGGAGATTTCTTTCGATTTGTCCAAGCCTTAGTGAGAGGGAGGTACTAATTGACGTGCGTGCAAACTTGGCCAAGACACCACAGTCAAATAAAAAAAAATGCACATTTGATAGCCCAACAAACTGAAGGCTTGAATAAAATATGGAGTCTGTGTAACTAAATATACTACTGACTTCTTTAGTTCACATGGAACAAAAGTTTAGGAATTGGATATGGAGGGATAATCCTAATGTTCTATTAGTAAACAATATTCGTTTCAATACGAAGAGGAAGAGAAAGGAAGGGAAATATGGTTTTCCACAAAATCTAATCAGCTGAGCGTTAATGAAACGTACAGGATCTTAGGAAAGCAAAAGCTTCAAATGATATCTAATGGGATGAACATGCTCAATGTGAGGATCATTCACGAAATTTAACATAAACAGCAAATTGAGATGCCACAAATTATAAATAGTCTCATGCAAATAAGGTATAACAGGCTTGAAAGAACTAAAAGTATCAAAGACTTGATATAACTCTTCAAGAAAGTTACAAATGAGAGCAGATCAACATAACAATGACAGAAAAACTAGCATGTTGATAGACTCGGTCACTGGCCATGATTTCACATCTAAACGGGTCGCCTGATGCACAAAGCTTTCAGTCTTCATGTAAGGTCCGGGGAAGGGCTACAACCCAAGGGTGTGTGATGTACATAGTCTAACCCATCGATCACACCGAAAAAACTTTACAGTTATTTCAAGGCTCACCTTCATCATGATTTCACATCTATGTACTAAAAACTCATCCATTTCAAAGACTACACACATCCTTAATTTAAAACCACAAGATTCAAAAACCTCCCTTTGTTCCTTAAACTTCATACTCAATCAAACTAAGACACTTAAAAATTGGCACAGAGGGAGTCTATAACTAATCTATCCAACACCTAATAAGCAAAAGTAGTCTTGAACTTCTACATTAAAAATCCCGACTCTGCCTCTCTCTACCAACTAAAAACTCATCCAATTTTCATATAAAATGGTAAAAGACAATAACATTAAAGGATAACAAAGAAACTTACCCATAAATACTTCCTACTAGTCTGACCATCTATCTATGTACATAAAAAATTATCTTATACATTTTATAGTGAACACCATCCCAC